AAGTAAGAACATACCTCAGTGTTATGATACCTTCTAGAATCGAGGACTCAAAAGACAAACCTAAAGGTATAACACGCATATTTAAGGTGGGAGACCGTGTTCAAGTGAGAAACTACTACATGGGTCAGACAAAATGGAGTTTCGGAAAAGTTACATCAAGAGATGGAAATCTACATTACAACGTTGAACTGGAGAACGGAGTAACATGCAGACGCCATGTAGATCAAATGCTGCGATCAAGACTTTAAAGGGGGAAAATTGATGTGTCTTTTCTAACATACTGTATGTTTAACAAAATACCATATGTTATGTTTAATAAGTTGACTTTGTTTTTGTTTACAATCATTTGTTATTTAGGATTCAATTCAGAATACACCTATTTTATTTTACACATCTTTTATTTAATATGTAACAGTATACTTTTTTAAATTTGAATTACAAGCTAATCAATAACAGTTTTACTAAACATATCAATTTAGAGGGAGTTTACAACGGTGTCTACAAATATTATCAAATTGAGAGTAATTTTTTTTTGTTTTAGATATGCATCCTAGTGTTGGGCGACATGGATAATATGTTGGCTTATCTAACAAATTTTGACCAACTATCTGGTTCTGATTTTCCAAATGCTCTAAAAAAACGTAGCCGAAGTCGTTTACTTGGTTTTCAGCCAATTGTCAGAAAAGGTGAGCAATCAATGAAAAAAATTGGTTATATTGTTTAAGATATTTATTTTTTAGCGAATTTCACATATAGGGAATAAGCTATTACTGTAGTACTCATGGTAAGACCTGGACCCGGGACCGATTTACTTTTTCGTTATGAGGTCCCTGGAGGCCAAAAACATATGCTGATCAAATTTAGAAAATGCATTTATTTCTTACTAAGCTATTAACATAAAAAAAAACAAAAAAAAAACACTTTTCCCTCTCTCTTGCAGCAAACCTAAGTACTCGTTAAAGTAATTATATTTAAATAAGGAATGAATGTGATATTTTTAAGGATAAATTTTAGTGTAAATCCAATTAGGCAAAAAGAAATTCGCTTAGTCTGCTGGTTTGCTGTGGCGGGGGTATCTTATTATCTAATGTGAAACCTTTGGGAGAGATAATGTATCCTTGAAAAACTAAACATTTTGTTAACCTTTATTTTGATGCTTAAACTCTTGCACCACCTTTTGTAATTTGCTAGCCTTTATGATATACACACAATACCTAACCTGTAACTATAGTATTATTGTGTATTTTAAAGCAATAGGTACACTAGTATCTTGTACTACCGATGAATATAACATTTGATGAGTTTTCGTTAATCAATGGCTTAATAGTCTCTATAACTATAGGCTAACACGATGTTTTGATTAATCACCCTTTTTGATCTGAACACATTGTAAACAGATATTTCTATTACTGTAGTATATATGGAGTGTGTTTTTGGTGTTCACTCTCAATTTCTAGTTGTCTGTCATTAAGAGCTGTTAAAAATATAAAAATATCAGGCCTAATTGTTAAAATCTTGATTGTCCTGTGGCATGATTATTAATAAGTAAAGCAGAAAATTAAATGGTTTATGAAAATGTTTTAAGGATTGGCTCGTTCTTATAGCACCAAAGTCAGTGACGCTGGTCTCTTTAAACCTGGCCTAAATGACAGCTTTTAACGTTATTTGTTGTAATTTACAGGTAGCGTAGGTCTGGAAAAGTGAAAGGAAAATAAAACAGAACACATGGTTTTGTACTCAAATATGAGCTTGTGTATGTACATCAACGTATTGCTTGTTTTTGTTATATATAAATATAATATACAACATAGTCTATAAATATCTGACAACCTATACATAAGTCTTGTTTAAAAGAATATAAATTATTGTTCTGCTATTATAATGAAAAACTAATGGTAGCAAACTGAAAGTGATATATCCTAAGAAAGATCCATACCTAAAAAAACATGTATTGTTCTATACATTAAGCATAATATAAATTTTTATTTCATTTTATTTATTTTACAAAAACTAAAGCAGCACGGTAAGTTAGCATTTTTCTACCAAGTAAAACGAAAATATAACATCTTTAAAACGTTTTCACTGCCAATAAGTCCAATACGTCTGGCCTTATTAGTTAGTTAAAAAAACTTATTTGTATATTAACAAATAGTTCGTAATATTTGTTTTTGGATAAGCCATCCGTAACCGAGGGGGGAGGGAATTAAATGAATGTTATAAATTATAAATTCTTCACTAAGTGTAAAAGTAAGTGTACGCAATGTCGTATTTAGGAGAGCAATAACCGCATCTAATTCAAACATAAATTGCCACAGAAGGAGTAGCAGTTTTCCAAACAATAGTTAAGTTTCAACAAAAATACTGCATATCATTCTAAAAAAATATAAAATTTGAATATAAAATAAAACTTTATCAATAAAAACATAAGCGGTAACTTTTACAATGAATAACAAAGTTTAAATCGCTTAAATTATTAAAAACTATTTATGTTTATGACACAACTATGTAAAACAAAACAGTTTTTTTAAGAAAACCTTCTGTGACTTTTTCAAATAATTATAAAAAGGTTTTAAAATTTGTTTGTCGAAAATTCCTAGTCAACTTCGTTTTAAAGGAAGATTTAATCTAAAATGATCAGGTTTTCGGCGTTGTCTACTTGAGAATATGCTACTTTCCTCTAACAGCTAAATAAAGAATAAACAGCACAACTCATCTGAGAACATTTGTACAATATGATGGACAGGGTAACGCAACAATAGCCTCAAAAGTTTGAACTCTGCACAGACAGTCACTGCATGATTATCATAACAACATTCATATCTTAGTATATACAAGTGATAAATGATTCTCCCTTAGAGTTTGCCGAAACATGTCTAGTCATATGATAATGAAAATCATCGTTGGTTAGTTTGGATACCAACAACGCTTTGTGTAAACTGTCTGGTGTAATAAATAACCGTTGTTTATGCATTTATCTGAAAGTCTAAGAGATTAAAAATCAATTGTACAGTAAATTGAATTCTTAGTAACTGTTAACTATAAGGAATCATATCGCATGGTAACCTTTTTATAGGTATTTCTATAATTGATCACAACAAAACATGATTGCAAAAGAACTTTCGATTGCAAGGAAACTGGTTGAATATCAAACAAGTTACAAAGTTTTTTCAGAACGATCATAGTTTTTGATATAACAAAAAATTGCTGGTATAATACTTAAAACTGTCTAAACCAGCAAATTTGTAAGTTCATTTGTAATCAAATTAACAATTAATTATATTTATAAAAACAAATAAAAATACAGATCTATGAACAAAAAATTTAACTACCCTACTGTTCTAATTTTGTGTTATGTTTGCTTATTTGAATGGTTTCTTCTAGCAGTCGCAAAAAAAAAACAAAAACTAACAACAACTACTTATAAAGAAAAAACACGTATACTCTATAAAAAAAAACAATTGTGCATGTTCTCAAAATGTTTTTTCTATGCTTGCAATTGTTTTAGATCTGCGAAGCTACTTCAAAACCAGATAAACGTATCTCAATTCTCAAATAAAGCCGTTTCTATGGTCATAACGTATAAAGCAAGCTAATTCCAAAATAAAAATGTTTGTTTCAAATATTTTTTAACAACTATGTAACAACAATAGACAATGTCTGACAAACAATCCAAGAGAGAAATCAGATTTCAAAACAGTTTCAACTAAACACTATAATAACACCCTCACATAATATTAAACCACCAACCGTTCGTACAATACGTTACATTCAAGGCACCTTTAGTAGAACATACAGCTCGACGCATCAAATATAGTAAGAGGCATTCTTTTGTAAATGTTTTACTTTTAAATCACTTTGTACATTGCTTATGAGACTTATAACAAAGTTACATTATGCATTTTGGGTTATATTTGCTGCTTAGGTTGTTTCCTTTTTTTTCTTGTGACAAACAATAAAAAAAAATTTGATTCTTAAATATATTAAGCAGCGGCTGAAAATAGACTTGAAAAGAACTATGCTTTCACATGAAATTCTTACTATAAAAAAAACACTGGAATCATTAAATAGTTGTAAGTAACTGCATAAACAACCACAACAACAAATATTCCCAAAGCAAATGTTTTTTAAATAACACAACACTTAACATTTTACTATTGTACCAAGTCCACTGCACAATTTGTATATCCAGTGCACTATGAGCCACTACTACCTATCACAGATCATTTTTACGATTACCACTGACAATGGAGTCTCTCTAAAGCAATATTTAACTGTTTAATTCTATAAGTTGTAAGGATAAAAAAATACATCACACATACTTAATGCAGATTAAAAAGTAAAATGTTGAGCCACAAGAAAATTATGGTTGGCTTTGTTTCATAGCAAAACCCCTGGTAATAACAATACAGCTGACTTAGAAACATTTAACAAAAATTATAAGAACACATATTGAACAAATAAATAATTTAATGGCCACTTAAATGCTTATTCAATTTAAACATTTTACCGTAAGTACTAATATTCTTACTAAAATAATATACTCAACAACAGAGGAAGAACTCTAAAAAATAATATTTGCTGAAAATATCAATCTTGTGGCCCAAAAAATATAACATAATTACATAGTGATGAAAAAAGTGTTTATAAGCAGTTTCACTAAATAATAGTATAAATTTTAGCCAATATTCGGGCGATCAAAACAATAATTGCTTGCGCATAAAATTTTAACACTGTTGAAAACTATAAAAAAAATGTTTACAAATCATAGTTTCTTCATAGAACCAAATGACTGATTCATTATAAAAATAATAAACTATTAGTCTATTATTTGTTTTTTTTTGCTCCTGAAGAAGTCTTAAGCCAATATATATAAAATTTTGTTTGTTAAAAAAGTGTGTAATAGTTTATATTTTTTTAATGATTTACAAGTCATTTAGTATTAGCAAATTTAATTTTGATCTAATATAAACGATTTTATGTAGATAAAGTTCATTCTATTAGAAATAGGAAATAAATAACCGAGTTTACTTTATTGTATCACAAAAAAAACAAAACAACAAACTTAGACATATATATTAAAATGTTTATCTGTACACTCAAAATATATATGACGTGTTAAAATATTATGTCTTCATAGATAATTAACAAAAAAAAATAACAAAATATTTACCTTAACACTCTCAAGGTCCACCTATCCACTTTCTCCCTAATCTGATTACGTTTAAAAGCTATAAAAACTTTACCTTAGAAACTATGTACAATATGTTCATTTATATATAAAGACACCGCATTTATCACGATTGGAAACAAACTAAAGAGTAGAGTAACCAATTCATCAGATGCTGACGGAAGGAAACCGGCTAACTCTGAGTGGTGTAACCACTTTATTGGCTAACTACTTTGCTAGGTTAAGTCCTGATTAAAATCACCTCTCTGGCCTTACTAGGCAAAACACCACTGAGAGCAGCAGCATGCAGAAGTAGAGGGAGTGGCGCAGGCTAGACGCTGTGTTTAGCTCCTGGCATTGTCCTGGAATAAAAATTTGTTATAAGTGTTTTGGTATAAATTAAATTTAAATTATTTACTTTAACTCATGACTGAATGAGCTCCTCCTTCGACAAAGTGAATGAGATATCACAGTTGTTAAAACACAAATACATAATAAAATGCAAAGATTTTGTAGATAATTTTTTTTTAATTGCAAAAGGGGAATCCACTTTTGTAAAAGATCAGTATTTAAAGTTTGCTTGGTTATTATTCTGCTGATAAGCCTGCTGACATTAAAATATATATTGGGTTTCCCAACATTATTTCATTAAAACAAAGATGAAAGATTTAATGAAAGATTTTTTGTTTTTGTAGTAGTTTAGTTCAGGGGCTGCATCAAGGGTTCATAAGCTGGACATTGCAGAATAGCCACCTTCTTTGCAGTCACTACTGATTTACCCATAAGACATAGACCACAGAGTAGTTTTTAGGCATACTACATATAAGTGCTTCCCTTTGTTTTTCAGAAAACAATCTTTCCTTTCAAAAGACGTTAAAAAGTTACAACAGCTTTTAAACATCTAAATCAAATACCGTGTCAGTAACTCAATTCCTCCTTAGATCATCACATGTGCCAAGTAGTCTTTATATAGGAACGAACAGTTGGCACATAAAAAATATTAATAAACATAACAAGATTTGATTTGAAGAATATTTAGTTTATCCTAGAGATTTCACCTTCACTAGTAATGTTGAATGCCAACACTCCGGTGGATCCAGGGACTATGTCTCGTCTGCAAGTATCAGCGCTGGTCGAGAACATGACCACATTGTCTGCTTGGCTCTGGTAGACGAAGCAGTAGCGCTTTGCCCCTCGCGAGCTCCTTGACAGCGGGGTGGTGATGAGGTAGTGAGTAGCGGTGGAGTTGTCAGACCATCCTCCGTGGCAAGAGTAGGCTGAGGAGCAGGAGGTAGAATTATCAACTTGGTAGAACATAATAAGATACAGGGAGGGCAGGAGAAAGAGAGTGGTTTTTAATACTGTGAGAAATGTTAGGGGAAACGTTCCTATACAAATGTGAAAATGCTAGTATTTCTACGGTTTAATTTTACATTTGTACTATTTCATTTCTACTTGAAGTTTATCAAAACAAATATAAATTTACACGTTTAAGAATTTTAATAATGCATTCAAAATTAAAACACCTAACAATAATATGTGTTAAAAAGTAACATGTAAAAAAATATTATAGAAATTTGAAATTAGATTTAGTGAGAACTAGCTGTTACCCACGGGCTTCACCCCGTTTGACTTCATAAGTATTAATAACATTATTGGTTATTAACCAACCTAACCATATATTGGTTAGGTTGAGCTGAAATAAACAAAACAGAATACATTAATACAAACAAATAAATACAGCTGAGGTATTTTAACATTAGGTATATTGAAAGTTCCCTTTAGAAAGGAATTACGACCTTAAAGGGCAATTTATGAATTAATGGATAGTTTTGGAAGGTTTCTCGTCATGACAAACATTTTAAGTATATGGTTTATGGGGGTGTGACTTGCAGTTTTCTCAAAAGTTCATGGGTACTTTTGGCTTTATATATAGATTTTCATGACAATTGGATATATAATTACCATTCTTGGAATAATAAACTATAAATTCTATCCCAGTATAAATTATTTTAATGAACATGTGAAATTCAGTGTAATTTAAACCGGAACTTTAAAATCTTAACTTAAACTGTAAAAACAAAATCTCCATACCTGACACCATATTGTTGTCTGGGGAAGAGCATTCTGATCGAAACTCCATCGTGTCAGAGGATGCACAGCCAACCATCAAAGTCTTGAAGTCCAAGGAACAAGCTTTTGTTTGGGAATAGGGCTCCAAATCTCTCCTTGGTCTTTTGTGGGTTCTTTTGAGATGGCGCCCTATCATGTCATAGTTCCTATTTTTAGATTGAAAGGGCTTTTCCACCTTGGATTGTTTCAGGTTTCGTTTTAGCCTGATTCTTCTGTTGTACAAGTCCTGAATGTCAGTTTGTCCCTCGGTGGTTGTTATCCACTTTACCGCACTGTACCCCTGATGACGTGATATGTTTACCGTTGTGTCCCGAGAGTGGGACCTCGTGTGTCGCTCTCTTCTGCTCACCCCATTCACCGAGAACCGGCCAAAGTGGGGGCATTTTTTGGTTTCTGGGTTTTCAGCTGGAAATAAGGGAAAAAAATTAACAGATGCCAAAAATTCTATTTAAAATTTGAGGGTAATACATTTACTATTTAAGCAGTCATCACATTTGTTTTTTAAATTGTTTTATGGATCTTTGTAATAATCCAACGTAAATTTTTGTAGCCTGAAGGCTAAGAATAATGTCGTGTTGAATATAAATAAAATGTTATGGCATGTTATGGTATTATTAAACATAAATTGCCGGCTAAATTAGACTAAATGGTTCTTTTTTATAAAAAAAGTTGTTAACTGTACTGTACTGTTATAAAAAAATTAAAAAAAATTACCTTTGATTTTAAACATACTTTTCTCAAACAGTTGAAGGGGGGGGATATGGGTTCTAGAGGTTTTATCATGGCATGTTTCATAAGATTATAGAATTTGTAATTTAAGAAATAGCATACTATTATCAACAATTCCAAAACAATTAAATGGAGTTTTAAACCTAGTCTTATTTGTAAATTTAGCAATTTTAGTCGGTTAAATGTTGTCCAAAGAATAATATTAAATTTAAAGTGATTTATTAAGATTGTCAGTTATTGAAAATAGTGTACCTAATTTTGTTTGAATAATTTGTTACGAAGATTATAGTTCAGACCAATAAATTACATATATTATAAACGTGTATTTTATTTATTTGGTTACTTTTAAGGAACCGTAGGCATTGAATGATGCCTGTTATTCTTAATACTTATATAATTTTGCAAACTATTGAAGTTAAGATACACATAGTCTAATTAATAAAGTTCTTGTTCTTTGTTTAAAATAGGATTATTTCAGCAAGTGTATCAGATTTTCCCTAGTTTTAGTGTTAAAAACCAACTGGAATAGTATTATATAATACATAACCTACACATTAATAACAGAACCTGAAATACATAATCTCTTATTAATCATTGACATTTACTACTAATTTTTTCTCTCATACATAATACAATTTACAAAGTAATTCTTAATCATAAATCATACTTGGTTTAAAATGTAAAACGATCTAGAAAATAGTGTTATTTTTAAAAATATATTGTATACTTATATTTTTCATTAAATTAATGTCTTATAACAGCCGATACTAAATGAACATAGTAATACACACCTTAGTAACAAATCAGTTAATAAAAATACTCACTGACTAAAGTAATGAACGGAATAGTGTTCCTGTCAAAATAACCAGAGTTGCATGCGTCTTCAGGCCTTCGTGTAAACCCTCCTGAAACATTAGATATAATGATATACATGACTTACATACAGACACCTAATACAGTACACATAATACGGTATTCATTAAATTTACATTATTTCACAAATGGATTTACGTATACTTGTCCATTTAATGTTTGGCCAATTTGATAAGCTCACTAGAAAATTTTTATTTTGTTAAAACTATAGTTAGGTTAGATAGCCATCAATCAAACCACAAATAATATATGTTGAATGTGTTTACAATTATACTGGATTAACTGTAATTACATATCTAAAATATGTTAAGAGTTAAACTGCTATATGAGTAGTACAGTATATATTGTTTCTTTAAAGTATTCGGATAAAGCTTTTAGTAAATTGAAGCAAATCTATGAGGCTAATACCAGAAAATTGGATGGATAATATTTTGCTAAACTATTTCAAAATTGCATTTATCGATTCATTCTAGATAGGTTTTAGTAAATTAAAAAGAAATATTCGACGATGTGAAATCAAGGGAAGAGGATAGTTGTGATGTTTATTATGTGCTCGCTGGTAGTGATGTTTCCAAACTAATTCAAAATCCCATCAATTTTTGTAAAACCTTTACCTTCATATATGCTGTAACATTTTATAATATTAATCTTTTTTCAATACCTGACTGGACCTCGATGATGTGGGCGTCTCTTTTGTGGAACATCATACACATGTAGCCGTTTTGGCTGAAACAAATTTAAAATGTTTAGTAAATTGTATGTGTGAATTCAGATTTATTTACAATTCACAATAATTAGTAAAAATTATATACAAATAATTTAGTTCTGAGAATACTAGTTAAAAAATTTTACACAATTCATAAAAAATAGATACAATATTAAGTAATATCATGAAAACTATTCCGTAGATGTAACATTTTATTAATACTGATTACTTAAATTTTGAGGCTTCAGTAGGCAAGGATTATTGTTAACATCTTTTCAATAGGTCTATTAAAATATAGAGTCCAAAATGTTAGTAATCATATACAATTCTAATTTAACTGGTCCAAGGTTTAATCTGTGTAAGTAGCTTATAAGAAGGTATAAAACTTTGTACAAAACCTACCATCCTACAGTGTAGTGGGTGATGATATAAGCCACTTCACTGTTGGCTTGGAGAATCTCTGAACACACAACTCGAACCTGCAAATAAATATATATTTAACATACGTTTCGTACCTTAAATCTGCAATGAACAATAACAATCGAATTGGTTAGTTATCAAAAGTCAGTACAGTAATAGTGAATATAGAATTACACTAAATGATATTCAAAATATAAAAGAACCATTTTATTGAATTATTAAACACATCAACCTAAGCAGAATATTTACTAACAAACTTAATAATAATAAATCAGCTGATGTATTAATTACTTATACTTTTAACTATCTAACACTTTTCCCCTCTTTCTTTTTACACGGATTCAACAGCTACCATTCTTTGTCTCATCTGGTCCGCATGTTTCCTTTTTATAACACCTCCACAAAGTACATCATATGAGTACAGTCCATTTTTATTTTTCACCATTCCAGCTGACCAACCATTTCCATGTTCATTCTTAATCCACACATCTTCTCCCTCTTCAAAAGTTCGAACTTTTTTGTTGTCCCTCCCTTGTTCTTTCCAAAGCTTCATCTCCATCTTTTTCCTAAGATTAGGTTTCATATTGTCAAAAATTGTTGGTAGTCTACGACCGAGAAACAATTCTGCAGGAGCCCTACCAGTTGTTTTCTGAGGCGAGTTTCTGTAGCTAAAAAGAACATTTTGAAGAGCTAGCATTCCATCTCCAACATCCTGCTTTGTTGTGTAGAACCGTCTTTTCAAAGTACGAATTAGTCTTTCCACAAGTCCATTACTTTTAGGATGGTAGGGAGTTGTTTTTATGTGGTTGATAGACATTTAACTATCTAACAGTGAAGACATACTGTAATACGTTATGGTTGAAATTAATGCATTACATCTATTTTCATTGATGTCTGAACAGTGTTTATGTAATTAATACAGTTAAAAGGAAGACCAATATGCCAGGGATGTAGACTTTGATTGCAAAATCATAATATCCTTAGCGGAATATCAAAACACCCTTGGGCAACCAATTAATCAATGTTAGCAATTACCTTATTAACACAACATTGTATACTTTGTAAACTTAATTTTCCTGTTACCTTAGTAATGGGTCAGTTATCCTTATCCATAGAGAGTATTCAATACTCACCTTTTATTACATATATATTTTAAGAATATTTAATTTGGAATATTATAGAGGTTAGCAGTCGTGTGATTGACATGTAACACATTTTGTTTAGGTTTTGAAAATTGATAGAATGTTTATTATACAACAAAAAGTAATTTATAAAAGATGCTCATTAAAAAAATATAAATAATTTAAAGACAAAAGCCCATAAAGGCATGATTTGCATGTTTGAAAAATGTCCATGGACTAAAACATGGGGATTGCTGTTGGTTTTGTTTTACCAAATAACAAAACTATTTGTATTTAGGTACCTGTACATTTATACTAAATTTGGTGTATATTCATCAATACTTCAAAGCTTATAATAACCTACATTTTCCACTTAACTGACATAATGGCCTTTTGTGAAGAATCATAGTTTGACAATTTTCCAGGCATGCATTATGCTTGCTATTTCTTTCTCCTATTTTATTACTCCTTACATCTGAAATTTGTTTGCTGACTAACCTACTGACTATCAAAATCTATCTTATTGGGAAAATAGTTTGATTGTATTGCTTGGATATATAAAAATTCCCAAAAACACTTCATAATTTTTCCCATTCATCTTCTCGAGTATAATTATTTCATATTAAGAGTTTAGAAACAAACAGAACTTATTTACTGTCCTACCGACTGTTATCAAAACAATGAGTTTGTTCTAGACCATAAAATTACCAATGCCTTCCCTCTACTTGCCACTGCACTGCTGATATCTAGCTATTCCAGCTTAGTGTTTTGACACCTTAAATATTGCACACATACTAACCAACTGAATTATAAAATCAGAGCTAGATTGTGTTCCTAACCACAAATTATTGAATATATTCACAAATCCTGGTCTTATTCAACCCATAATTCAATGTGAGTTTTGCTCTGACATCTTCTGCTACCAACCTCCTGTTCCTTGTCGTAGGCAGACAGCTGCTGCTGCACCACAGGCCCCTCGCTGGGCAGAGACCCCAGACTGGTGTTGGATATGTGGAGTGTTGTGTTGCGATGGTGGAACTTGTAGGAGCTGCGGTAGTCCAGAGTGTACCATTGGTGATGCTGGGTCAACCACATGGGGAACTTGCACTTCTGACTCGCAGTCACTGGAAAATATGGAATGTTTCAACATACATCTATTACTTCACCATTAAAAAGATTAAAAGTCCTCTTTTGAATCCCATAAAATATAAGAAAATACAAAGACAGCTTATTGTGACGCTTTTTATAGACCCACACATACAGCATACATATATAATATGGTGAACATAATAAAAAATAACGCGTTATAATGTAGATTAATTTAAACCATTATTGATGCTCCAATCGAGTATGTTTACGGTTAATGTTTTACTTTATAAATAAGTGACTGTTCTGAGGCTAATAAGTGTGACTAGTGAATCAAACTCCTTGGTTAGCCCTTAACATATGCTAACATCAAAGTTTATAAATAAGAATTTTAAAATATTTAACCACACAATAAAGCTACAACATGTAACCAATATAACATAACCACCATAACAGAGTAACTCTGTGATTTTTTAGGAAAAGCTAACACTATGATAAAATTAGCTGCTGAACATAATTTAGTTTTACGTATCTAATACAGGGTAAAGAAAGGCTGTAAATGAATATTTTTTATATTAATGTTGTGTTTAAGCTTACCTTTTTTCAAAGTCATTGTTCTTGACCCCTCCATGGGGCTGAAGAGTCCATTACATGTGGCGTCTCCAGACTGAGCAACTCTGAAAAAATATTAATATATTTTTAAATAGTGCAAACATAGAATGTAACGCATCAATCAGCTATAAAACAACTAACAGACATTACAACACATAACAACGCAATCTTTTTACCTTAAAATGATCCATTAATTCTTTACTCGTTTAAAAGGTTGTACTGACTTCCAACGAAACATTTTAACGTCTTCCATTTAATTTGCAGGGATAGTAATTTGTCGGTAATTAACTAGTTCTAGCTATGTTAACAATCAATTTTAAATACAATTTTACAATCCTATTTAGTTCATTATACTGTTTTGATTTCTTTTTGGATAACATCTAAAGACCTTCCTAACTTTAGGTCAGCAAAATGAATTATGTAAAATCCTCGTTACGTTGATTTTAAAATAGATAAACTGGATGACGGATTATTTTCCTTTAAAACACTAACTAAGTAGTTGATATTGAGGGAATTATAATAAAGAAACACCCACGAATCAATATGGCTTCCAATAAAAACCTCTTAATAGCTGCAATAAAACCCCTAAGTGTGTGGTATTATGGATCGAAGTAATATTGCTTGCCTTAATACCAGTGGCTTTTACTGCCAATAAACACAATACTTTATACTTCTTCCCTTTCCTTTATTGCTTTTTACAATGTTCAGTGTATTTCATAATCAAAGAGAGTATTTTACGTTTAAGTGAAAAATTAACTGTAAAAATAGTCAAATAGCATTAGCTTTATAATGTGCTAATGCGTAACGATTGGGGCACCTAAAATTCAATTTTAGATAATGCTGTCTGTCGTGAGGAAGCAACAAAGCCATTTGTAAACATAATAAAAGATAAATAATTAATAACTAAATAATTTTTCCCATTTATAAACTAATTTCCTAATAAGCAAAGATATAGTATTTACAAAGTTTGTTGTTGCCAATAACTTGGACAAATTATACAAATGATGAAATTTCAATACCTTTATACCTGCATTAATATACATCTTTGGTACAACCTTTACGATCCTGAGAGGCTCTCTTCATAAAGAATTTATGCGAATTTTTACAGAATAACTGACTGAATGTACAAACACGGACATATTGCGACGGATGTATTCGGTTTGGATCCCCGAAAATAGTGGCTTTCGAAGTGATGTCTATGTGAATGTTCATATGTAGACAAAGCAACAGACCACACCTCGTATGATTAAGATTCAATTAGGAATGTGTGTATTAATAAATAGTATATCCAAGTGTTTTGTCATTTTTTAAATTTTGGGTTTTAATTGTAATTTTTCCATAAAAACTTACAAAAATGAGAAAATTAAAAAAACAGCTTGGCTGATTTTTTTTAAGATTTCGAAAGTTATTTATGATTCTAAATAGAATGGTATAACCTCCAATGCTAAAACAATTACGGTTTTACAGTTATTGCTACTTTTGTGATTTCCTCACGCCCACCATACCCATGATAAAGGTTGTTGACAAGACAACAGAAGAAGACATGTGTCACATTACTGATGCCGTTCATTAAGGTTTATACATTTTCTAAGTTTATTACAATTATTAAACTAAAATGACACCCGAATGAAATAAACAATTACCTGTACTCGACATCGTCAGCCTTTGGCCTCGGGAACTCAGGATCCTCACCATACAGCTGCATGGCAGACTGACCTTGGCCCGACATCTTCTCGTAGACAAAACACCTGTAGCTGTCCTCATTGGAAGTGGAGTGTGTATGATGTAGAGGAACCACCTTCCCCACCAGGTAGCGGGACGAGCCCTCCTTCCAGGTGGCGAGGCACTCCAGCTCTTCCACTGCAGAGGGAATGCAGAATTAAACAAATGCAAGTACTGTACTTGTAATAGTAATGCAGAACTCAAAGTGTATGAAATTAATCAAAATGAATTTTCTAAGGTTATTTGATTGTTGATGTTAATTTTATAGTTCAGTGGACAGGTGAAAGGAAAGAATACAAACTTTAAGTGTGAGTAGATAGAAAGTGAGAAACTGAATTGAAGTATCAGTGGATGTGTATACGCGTAGTAGTAAAAAAGAAGCAGAGATTAGAGACAGTAAGCAAATGTCCGAATATGTCTCCTAGATGCTTAAGGTGAATGTTTATTGAATTTTGTACAAGAATCCAGACGACCTAATTTAATAAAAAGGTTATCATCTCTTCCATTTGCTCCACGCATCAATTTCTTAATATACATACATTTTTGTATACATCTTGATTAAATCTATTGACTTTAGAAGTCCTCAACGCATGAGGATGCTGATGTCGATTGTTTTAGCGTTACTTTATTACAAATATACCAGTTATTCAATTAATGGTTATCATACTACAACGTTTATCTATAAAGGTTTTTCATTTGGTTACACAAAATTAAAGTTTGGAATGATACAAGAAAGGTATGGGTAGTTATCGTTAACATAAACTACTTATTCACCGGGCAGAAATATGTGTTAAAACTATCACAAACTGATCCTTAAGGACTGCGAGCTTACAAGTGAGCAAAGTCGTGTAAAAATGTAACACCCAGACATCTTTGTAATTGTTTGATTATTTACAAATAAATAGGTAATTTACCTGTACTCTCAGTACCGTGGACGTCAGGACACGCCTGATATCTGAGGAGCAGTCGAGAGTCCTGAGTGCAGGAGTCGATACTGCTGACAGGATAACGACACTCGCCATGTCCTCGGTTGTAGGTGAACGTGTGTCCTCCCCTGAACGGGCAAGGCACCGAGGTAGCCGCCTCACGGAACATGGAATATAACAGGGCGTCGCCGGTGATCAGAGAGCACAGGGTCTGCAGACTGTCTCGTGGCATACAGTAGGCTGAAGGAAATAAACACACGATGAGATTAGCGAGTAAATGATAGGTCCTGAAAAATATATTTGTCAGAAACTTTAGTCTCAAACTAAATACCACGCACTGTAACCAGGTACGTAGGCCCCTATCGTATAATATCTTTTAGAGTGTGATAGAAGGTGAACGTAGGAGGCTAAAGGTTAAAATTAACGTAATTGTAAAAATGTTGATGTACTGTTATGTTGTTATGTACTGTTATCAGTACATAATCAAAATATAATTTTGCTTATGTACCAACAACAGTTTCTCGTGGGTAATATCTAATAAGCCTTGTTATCATGGTGTAATTCTTATCGAGGTTTGTACATATTATTAGGGGGGATAAAAAAACCAAGGGTTTGAAAATTAAACTGTGCTATCAGTAGTGAAATGCTATAGTAAGGTCTTGTTATTGAAGTTATAAAACCCGTGTATGCTGCCTCCTTTAACACACAATTTATGCTGTTTTACCAAATTTCATCAAGTTACTTTCAAGTTACTAAAATAAAGTATTAGTATCGTCTTGAATGTACCTTTAGAGCATATAATATTTAAAAAAATACTGGTTAAAAAGCATATTTTAAAGTGTATTTAAAGTATCTTATAAAATGTAAAGTTTTGCAAATTAATTAGCTCACTCCTATAACTAACAAATAAGAAATAATGCACCACACAGAAACTCAGCTACTATACTAGAACTTAACAAGGATTAAATATATTAGCACAACAAACTTACTGTAAGAATCCAATCACATTTGTAACAAAGTTTTCCAATCAATTTCGCAAGGGAGTAAAGCGTTATTTTGTCAAAAGCTATGTCGGATTTCCAATCACAAGATTGATTGAAGGCCAGTTGCGGACTTAACTTCCTTGGTTTGATTCGCTTGAAGTCATATAAACTGTAAGGGGCCTTTGGAGCTATTACTCTATTTATTTGTACAGTAAAATATATTTATATCCTGTCTTATTTATGGAATAAATAAATAATTGAGAATCCAACAAATAAACAAATAGACTAACATACTAACAAGTACGAGTGAATATTTAAACTTTATTTGAATAAACTTTGATAAACAAAGTACACACAAGTTAATTAACTGATTAAGTTAAACAACAAAACGTTGTTTTGGTTTATTAATTCATCACAAGTAGTGCGAAACATATTTATATGTTTGACGTCATCACAGACATATACTGTATTTTATAGCTGAAGATTTTACCCATAATATTAACCTACTATAAAATTATGTAAGGAGACTTACTTTCTTTGTACTGTAGGACGTTTATATGCTTTTCGTGGATCACCACACATCGGTAGCAAATGTTCTTGCTGGAAAAAACCATTTCATATTAGTTACAAAATTAGCCTCAAATTTTAATTAAATTCAATCTTATCTACAATATTAAAAATGCATTTAAATTATTTGTCTGAAAAGGATAATTTTTATAACGATTTAAAAATAACACTGCTTTAGGTCGCTCCAAGGCTATTTTGCCTGTTTTGTATTTACTGAGCCGTTAAATGATAAGGTTTTCTCACCAAAGACTTATTTACAACAACTACAAACAATTAACAAATAACATATTAGAGTAACAGAACGATAGCTATAATAGGCATACAATGTTACTTTCGTAAAATAACAATATGAATATGCTGCATATGTACTTATGCTTTTACAATACATTGTGGTATGGAAATGAACATATTTTATTGGGTTATAGTAATTTACGTTTGAATTTGAATTTTTCGTACAGACACTATGCACTTCTGTAATGAATTATGATAAATCATCGAAATCATTCCAGCAATACTTGGAATTTAATTACTCATTTAAGTATTTAAGATGAGAGGACATTCAAGTTATAAAATGGCTTATAGCAGAATTTCCAGGAAACTAATTTATTTTGTATTTGTAAGTTTAGAAATCATTTATCAGGTTTATAACTTAAAGAGTTATAATGTTAAGACAAATAACGATATTTGAGTTCATAAGATATTCAGCTGATGTTTGTTGTGATTAATTATAAAGTTAATTTGATGGATTACGTTCGGATAAATAGTTGTGTACCTACAGATTTGTACTAACATCATGCTTAAAATGCTACAATAGGGTCACTTATCAAATAGTAAAAAAACTCAGTCCATAACTATTATTTGGAAACAAAATATTACAATTTTCGATCATGTGCAGAAGTTTGAAAAGAAGTTTTATAAAACGGAGAGAATCAGTTGTCCGTTACAACAGGCTTTTAGCGGATTGTTGACCAACCGGAACGTTAATGACTACATAAAGAGAAGCATAAATGGTATCACAGCCGTTATCTGATAAAGCGTTTGATACTTTGGACGTTGCCGGCATACGGTAGCGTAAAGGCTTTTACCGTAATGATCGATTGGAAAGCATTTTTAATAACAGTTTGTTTATATTTAGTAGAGTTTTATACCAATTGCTTGCATAAATCTTTAAACCCTTTTATCCAGCTCGTGTGTATCACAGGGAAAATCTACGCATACTGTTGGAAAGATATTTTCCTGTAGATGTGTAAAATCCCTTTATAAATTAAAATAGGCTCAAAAATAAGCACAAAATATGAATTTAAAATTTTGAAAACATTAACATTGATCTTATGGGTTGGTGAAGAAATAACAACGAAATATAAACAAAAAATCAAAACAGAAATAGAAGAAACTCCAATCACATGTTTTATTTACAGTGTGGGGTGAAAATAGAGACGTCTGTGCATTACATATTTTTGGTCGAGTTTCGACCACTGGACGACCTTAATAAGTATTCATTATTCAACACATTTAAATGTAAAAGTTTTAAATAGATGTTTAAGAAACAATACATTTTAGGCGATACTTGGTTTAAACTTATTAAACCTATACATAGCACACATCCTAACACCGTTTTAGATTGTCTGGATCAACAAATAGTCGAAATTATTTCCTTACACATCCCAAAATAAATGCAGCGTAATGCTAATTTTAATAACCAAGATTCTCGTAGCAAGTCAATCCAAATTGAGAAAGTACGATGATTGTAATTTACTAGCCTACACTTTTAAATGTAAATAATCATAATTACATTTAAGTACCTGACTTTTTTGATAGTTTGAAACTCGACCAATTGTCCTTGATCATTGGGTTCTTGGTAAATGACCCATTGCTAATGAACAATTTAGTATTTGTAACAAAGTTACCTATTCAAGGCATGTCACTTCATTTATATTTACATGATTTGGCTAAGCACGCTTATTTGCGTATCAATTTTTAGAATAAATCATACTCACTCGTCTACTAATAGGAACTTGTCGCCGTCCGAGAACAAGCATCGACCCTTTGTACTGAGTCTAGCGTCTTGTATTGTGATTGGCTGCCTGATCCCGGACTGGAACCACGTCCCTGTCCATCTTGTGGGGAACCGGCAGCCCGTGTCGGCTGCAACAATAATAGCTCATTAGCACAGGACACCCTTGAAAGTTAATAAAAGGGTAGGAAAGGACAAATAAGTGTGGGATATCTCACAATATTAGTAGGTAGGGTTAAAATAAGTAAGTTATTTTCGAACAGGTACAACGGTTAGTCCAACCTATTTCAAAACTAGATCCGATGTGCACGTGGAATTTGTTTTTCATAATGTAATTAATTCTTCTGTAGTTTCACTTTTGTTATATCCAGATTAATTATGACAATAATGTAACAATAGAAGCATAGATTGTCTAAGAAATCATTATTAATGATATTAATAGTAAATTGATGGTTGGAAGTATAAAATGCATGAGGGAACATGCGTCCCATAGAGGTAATTAGTTAGTGATTTTTTAAGAATCATGGTTAAGCTGAATAAACAAAATGAATAATTGTAGAAAAAAAAATTAATCTATAATATTAATAAGATAATAAAGATAAAACAGTACAGTGGCATTACAACTAGATTTTAGCCGTGAGGGCCGTGCGTGGTAACAGCCTACTTCCTAGGGAGACAAAAAATACTTCATGGCATCGAAAAAGATATTTTTACATCGCTACGTACCTAATATCTTACATAATACCAACAATGTTGTGTTACAATTAAAAGTTAGCTAACCAACAACCAGATTACTAACAAATTCTTACACCAATTCCATCACCAATTGATATAAGACACATAGAAAGTGCCCACCTGCAATCAACAATTCTCGACCTCCAGAACCACTGTCGTTAGTGACAACGACTCCGGCTAACGATAATGACAAACAAATTACACTTTTTGTAGTTACACGCGAAAAAAGAACAAAGAAGAAGATAATAAATGAAACATTCATCAAACGACTTCCTCCCTCTAGCAGTTCCCTCCCTTACTGCTTTGAGCAGCTTTTATTATCATTTGATGTTTATGGATGTTGTTACCCCTCTTACCCGTATTGAACCATCCCTTCGATGTAAAGTTGTTCATTGTTTGATATTCAATAGATCAATGTCCAGTAACTAACTTATAGTTTACAAGTGGTGTTTGAATTGGTAGTTTGATAATTGCACGACTTCCCTCTTCCTGTAGTTCAAATAAATAAACGAATAATAAACATTATTAACAGTGATTTATAAAAAAAAAATACATCATAAAATATAATATTATTTTTTAAATGTTGGCAGTCTTATTTTGCTACCCTCAATTGGCCTTTGCGTAGAATGTAGCAAGCGGTGCAAGAGTATACGAGTATGTACAGTACAAGAGTGAACAAATTTTAAGTTGCGGCCTCCGGGAGCGAACCCAAGACATTGCTGCCTTGGTTAGTCCGTTGTGATACTGACTGAGTCTCTTTTACATAATTTATTGATTTTTTAAATAAAATAATATCTACATTGACACCTTTTAGCCTGATAAATACACAAGGGAATATCTATTGAATTTTTGTTAAGTAAATTATTGAATAAAATTAGGCAAATTTACTAATACTTTAGTAAACAAAATGTGTTGATTAAAACATCACTGATTGTTTACCACTTTCAAATCTATTTAGGAAGACAAAGCGTAGATATCTAAGAAAAAAGTCAAAAAATCATAAACATATTCCATCGCAATATTATTAAAAACAAGATGAAGACACCTTAGACCAAATATTAACTGTATAATATTTTGTTAATATATCTATTCTATTAGGCTTTATTAAACACTACGTCAAAAGATAAACATTCACCTTATGAACTGTTATATGGCACTGAAGTTTTATCACGGTACCATGTATTAAAATGGAAATCAACAAAAATATTTACTATAAAAATACAAACAATGGCTAAGAATATCACGATAAAATCATAGAACGATTTTGTAAAGAAAACAAAAGAACGTTACGAAATATATGATTTGAAATAAGTAATAAACCATTTACTTTGATTCAAGAAACATTTAACCTAAATGAATAGTTAATCCTAAGAAAGGAGGCAAACAATATAATACGAAGGTCGAAAAAACGATATAATTAAAGGGTAACAATAACAAATTGGCTCAGTAGCAAGCACAATGTCTAAGATCCTGTCTCGATCAAAACAGTCGTTTGGAGAAGGTTGACATTTATGAATAGTTTTAGTAATTAAAGGGAATAAGATAAACATCTAACTACAAAAATGTATTCAGAAAAAATATTAAATACATTCAAATCATGATTAGGAAATTGTTATCACTAATGGGTTTTATAATTGCAATTTTTCAAGAATTAAATATGTTAACAAAACCGCATTATTACATTTACCACTATTTGTATTATGTACCATATCCATGAAAACAATTAATATATTACAAACACAAGCAGTAGTCATAAAGTGAGTTGGTCACTTGTGTTGGATGCCAAGTGATTTTTAGGCTAAACCAACGAACCTTTTAGCAAAGTTGGGGATTAATATTTAAGGATGGTTATATTGTAGAAGTATCAGATTTTACTATTGCACCCAACAATTTTTACTTAAATATTCCATAAACCAGATTGAAATAAACGAGTATTTTCTATTCATAATAATATCCAGAATAGTATTTGATTCGTCCTCATGAAAATTATCCCTTGAGATGCGACTTCCACAAACTGCTTTCTGTTTGCTACATCAACTTCTAATATTCATTTTGTACAACGTTCGTGATAGTTTCATGAAACAATTTCAAATACGAACAATAAACCTTTTCAATACTACAACAATCTTAAAGCATGTCATAAAACATTCTTGTAAATAAAAAATTATAAAAAATAAAAACATTTCCACCGGCGAACAACTGCATTGGCGTGGGCTGGAAATGAAATATACACGCCACTAACATATTTTACACGAGAGGGAATATGAAGAGAAAATAAATTTATGAAGGAGGGTTGTGTACACTCAAGATTCTGCCTTCTAATATACATGTCAAGAGTAAATATATTTCTGTGAACATCTAAGTTACTTAAAGTTTCATATTTGTAATAAACACCATTATGGCATATAAATTTGTCCGTAGAAAATGTATATAAATAAATGTTAATATACATTTTATACATTTTTTACAGGCTATAGTACTTTCAAGAGTGTGTGTGTGTAAAGTATTTGTTTGTTATAGTAATAATATTCTAAAATGTTATCTGGTCTGGTTACGGTTTGCAGAGCTGCGCGTGTTCTCGAACGTTAGTTTGATCATTATTTAATAATTTTGCATTTATATTATAGAGTACACACATTTCCGTGCGTTTTAGTATTAAAAAATATTTCACTTGATAATTCATGCATTTTACTTTACAACTTTAGAGGTTAAATATTAATAAAGATACGTCTACGTAATGACTTGATGGTGCACATATGTTTAAGCATTGCACACAGATACTTGCTGTGTGGATGGGAGGTCGGTGCAACTTGATTTGGTTGACGAGAGATTTGGTCGTCAACATTATCAGCCTGACCGATATCTGCTGGGGTAATGACATGCTGATACGTGCAGGTAACGCTCCCACTTGTTAGACCTGGCAAGACTTACCTTTATTATCATTTTAAGTTAAACCTCTGCAATTTTTAAATATTGCGAGATACAGTTTGTAATGGCCAAACTGCCCAGAAGAGTTTACGCCGATGGAACAGTAAGTTGACCCTGTTTGTAGGAGTTGAAAGCAAATGTCGCGTGGAAATTAAAGGAACTTATTCCACCTTCTCACCCTAGGACGCTAGGTTCTAGCCCGGAACTATTTGACTCATTTGTTAGTTCTATAGGGTCGCGGTATTATTAAATAGATACAATCCAGTGATGATTGGTGGGATTTGAACCCAAGATCTCGGGCTCCAAAACCCTAGCTATACACCAGACATGCTCGCTCCCCAACCTCAATAAAAAGGAACTAAGCATATACAAAGTCGAATAATATCCTCAGGATCTGAGCCGACCGATTTCATTTTTTATGATGAAGATATAGATAAACATTGAAAGAAGATATGTATTAGAAATATTCAGAATACAAAGATTTAGGTAAATACTTATTGATTTAAGGGAGAATAAAATAGAAAGTTTGTATAGTTACTAAAAATAACCAACGAAGTATTAACAACTAGGATATTTCATACTTATTACATAAGGGTATTTTTAAGGTTAACGGGTATTGCGAAAGTAGAATGACTTAAGGAGCTAGGTAGAACAATGAAGATGCATAAAACGTCGTCGAGTTATTTTTAATTAATCTCCTCATTATTTAGGACCTTATTGGACAGGCAGCTGTAAAAAGTTATGGAGCCCTATTAAAAACTTCCATTGTTTACGATACAACAAAACTTTATTAATTTCTCCTGAAAAGAGCTCAAGTTAAATTGATCATGTTTAATTTAAAAAGGCCAATAGGATGGATAAATTTAATGGTATCGTTTTTCATTAAACATAACACATTTTTATGATTAGGATAATATTGTAAACGATATTATAAATTAGGTTTATTGGCTGATGAATAAACAATTCTTTACATTAAAATCATCCAAATTTTATTTATGAACGGCAATATCCTGTTAAAGTATCAAATAAGTGGTTTTATCAAGAGATATCAATGCAATTCATACATGGCATCTATTTATCGTATTTTTGTAAGTTATACTTGCTTGTTCAATTACAATTCAGCATTTATTAAAGGTCACATTACTGTTTACTTATTGTTAGTTATATAACAAGATGAAATAAATTAACAAGATCAAAAGATTTTTTAATATATAATCTTAAAGTGTTATATTATTTTTAAGGTGCTAAAAAAGAAAATAATTTAATGACATAGGAGTATAGACTTTTAACTGTTAATTAATTCAAACAAATTATGTAGTACACTTTATTAGAAGGGATAGTTTAGGTTTTATCCTTATCATGTCAACGTGAAGCATAGAAAATGTATCAAAATCATTTGAACTACCTACTACTGAAGGGTTATAATAATTTTTGGCTATTATTATATTTAAAAACAATAACACTTAAG